TTTGTTTGGAGACCTTTATATCTTATTTGAGGTTATATTCAATTTCGTTATGGAAGATTTTATTTTGTATTGGAGACTATATTTTGGAGGTTTTATATAGCGTTCCGTTACGTTTTGAAGTAACCTCCCTTCCTTCGGAATGGGGGTGTTACACAACATGTCTGTTAATAGACCAAAGGATCATTGTCCAAGCGATATCCAGATTACCCATTAAATCCTAGCCTCACATTCAAGGGTTTGGCTGAACATAAATCCAAGATTATTATACAATTTGAATGCATAATGTTCGTTCGGATGAATCAAAGAATCAGGGTGGGTTGAACCAATTGATTGAACACAAACCCTTCTTGTTCTCCACATGTCCCATGACCTATACTATCAAGATGGCATTGATATCATCGGGGTTAGATATAGTTTTCAAACCATAATCATTCAAGTGATGTTTAAACCAAAATATACATACATATACATATATATAGGGGCAGGTTCAAACGATTGAAACCTGATATAAAATTGAAACCTCTGGCCTCCTCGCAATAAGTTTAACTTCTCCCCTGATCCTTCCTCTACATATACACACACACACACATATACGTTTTCAGGAAAATAAATAAATCATCAAATCAAGCACAAGAGATTATATAACTTATCAAGAAAATTCAAGCACTTTTGATTCATAAAAGATGATAATCACCAAAACACACTGGTACAAAACCCCCAAAATGTAGATCAATTTTCCAGAGTAATATACACATAAGTTGTACCTTGCTCTGGGGAAAAATGGCTAGCCCTAAAACCTAAATGTTTTGCAGATGAAAACGTATGAAGCTGACGGAGTCAATCCAAGTCAAACCCAGAAAACCCATCTAATCTTTGCTCCGATATCTTCTGATAGCCAACGAATTTTGCGTAATCTTAAAGAAATTTGTACCAAAAATCTAGTAAAAGTTGCAATGAAACGAGATAACCATAAAATTACGCAAAAATCATTGGCTACAGCAGTAATGAAGGAGGCGAAGATCGGAAGACTAGGGTATGACGTGGAGTGACGCCGGCAGATTATTCACGATTCCTCCGATTGGTTCCTCCCGGACGGTTCCTTTTAGCTTTTTCAGATAGATGGAGGATATAAGGCTTGAACACTACAGAGAGAAAAACATTGACTTTTTAAGTTTACTTAATTATACAAATAGTCCCTGGATTATTTCTTTATTGACGCGTTTAGCCTTTTAAAATTTATGTTTTGCAAATTCAGTCTAATATCTATCATTTGTGATAATCAATTTTCTGATGTTGATTACCGTCAGTAACTTCCGTTAATGATAGGTAAAATACGTAAATCTTTTTCAACAAAATTATATAAAATTTAAAAACTAAACACAAATACAACCATCAAACTTAAATTAAATAAATATCCAAAATTCATCGAGCGTGGTTGAAGACCCACCAAATTCATCAATGAATAAACAAATACAAACAAAACGCACCTATCATGATCAAAAAAATCAACAAATAAGATGTTAATCGACACAAACTTTTAGAAGAAAATATGATTATAAAAAAATATGTTAGATATATTTTATTCATCCCAAATAAAGCATGATTGGTTTAATACCTGTATTTTATATATCTGGTTAAAAATCGCAATAGATCTTTAATGTTTATATTGTATATAGATGGACAAAATAAATGGTCCATTTCAAAAGGAAACGTACAAGCATGTTCACATGGTCTCCATCCAACAACGGCACACGGTAGAGAAGTTTCGTTCCACACTCCTTATTTGAAAACAGAGGTGTTGTAGCACGACAAGCATCTCGACACCCAGATCTTCGTTTCTTTCGTAATCGAAGGGGTACATTTTTGGCAACTTTTAGTTAGACAGAAATTAGGTGATATTTATAAAAGTCGATTGTTGATGGGGTCCAACCCACGTGGGCAAAACCATGGTTTTGGGCAATGCTTATAAAAGACTTTAAATAAGGTGATCACATCTCATACTTTTTGGCAAAAGAGAGAAATATGGTGATAACAACCAATTGTTGTTTCAACCACCGGCTACCCACCGCCCCTCCTGCCGCAACTCAACCACCACCATCCGCCAGGTATGTCGAGTTAGCCACCATCATCCGTCTTTCATCTAATTATCATCATCCGAACTCATGGGTTGAACCAGTGTTGTCCAACAAAAAAGTCGGTTCATGTTAGCACGTATCGTACACCTTTTGCTAACATACGCCGGCTAAAAGAAATTTAAAACCCACATGGTATATTTACCTATTTATCCACATGTCAAAGATCTTTTTGTATTTGACACTTTTGGGTCGTGTTTTTGTGTAGGCCAAAAAGGGTGATTTCTTGGAGGAACCAATGTGTAGTTGGGATGGCATGTGTGATAATTGGCTTACAAACGGAGGGCATAGTTGGAAATAACGATGATTATGCAATCGCTGCCGATGCAAAGGCGGTTGTGGAATCAAAGGTAAAGGGGAAGAAGAGGTGGAGCGATAAGAGAATGTGTCCAGCATGGCAATTAAATTCGTTGGAGACAATTGTGCCGGAAGATCTTCCACGACCATCACACAAGCGGAGATGGGAGGGCGTTGGTGATCATCTGAGAGTTGCTCCGCCAGTAAAAGCCTCCACCGCCACCGTCGTTGGTGCCAACAACGGTTGTTTCTCTATGTAGATTCTTGATCACTTTGGTGAAAGAGTAGACGTTCCATATACTTATGGTTGTAAATATCATACAAAATACATGTTCATATAAAAACACTTAGATTTGAAACAATATTCGACTTGTACTTAGATTTGGATTCATGCTTCAGCTCAAGATTATTATTTTGACTTTACATGCACGAAATAAATTTTATCAGCTTTACTTCAGAAATTAATAGATGTCATATTGTGACGTATGTAAAATGAAGCTATTTGATAAAGTGATTTCATTACGAATTTTTGAATTCAAACATAGAACGACTTGCATAAGTTTGATGGATAGCAATGGGGTCGCTGTAATCCTGTGAGCGTATGACCTTGTGACGTGAAAATGGCTCAAGATTATAATCGAACAAAGACAAATTTGAGTAAATCTACATATCTTGTAATCATTGCATACATTTAAAAAAGACAAATATCCTAAAAATATTGTATATTTCTCAATAAAAGAATAAAAAAATATTGTATATTTTTTAATAAAAGAATAAATATCTTGAGTAGGTGAAGGGGTTTCATGTTAGAAAGAAATAGCAGTACAAGTAGAAAGGTTGTAAAGTTGAAGTACATGTACTACAACTACAAGAAGGAAGACATCAACAAGGACTTGTGGTTACAAGATGTTGATGCTACTTGTCCATTTATGATACAACTCATGTTGACCCAAATATTCAAATATGAAACTGGTTTGACGAGAAGAGATAGTTAAGGAAAAATTATGTGAATAATTCAAACCCAGAAAAAAAAAAGTATTTAAAGATGTATAGGTGAACTGATATTACAAATTATGCGTATGGGTTACGCAAGGGCGGCCTAGGTAGTGGATGAGATGGGCAAAGGCCCAAGGCATCACTGCTCATAGTACTTTAAGCCTATATTAGGTTCAGTTTTCAAGTTTTTTTTAAAAAAAAAAAATTTAATCGGGTTCTCTCTACTCTCTCTATCCACCGCCTACCTCAATTACTCAATCGACGTCTCGACCTTGCATCCCTCTAAAACAACCTCGATCATATCTAGTATTTACTTGTACAATATCTAATTTGGTTGTTTGCATATTTGGTGCCAATCTAGTTATATGGATATATGGTTTACTTGCATAGTTACTCCAACGGTCATGAATCTTGAATTGAAAAATTTTGGTTCTTGATTTCTTGAATTTTGAATCTTGGTTATTTGCATATTTTGTCTTGAACCTTGGTTATTTGTCGACTAGCATGAGTCAAGAGAGACTTAACAGGTTACTAATTTTGAGCTTAGAAAGTAAGTTTTTAACAAATGTTGATTATGATAGATTAATTGATGATTTTGCTTCACGAAATGCATAAAGACAACGTTTTAGGTGATATTATCTTTGTTTTGTTGTTCAACTGAAACTCATGTCGTATAGCCAGGTAGAAAAGCAGCAAAAAAATAAATGGGTTTCGGTTTATGTTCCTCGTCGTAACTTTTTTCCCAACAATAATCGGCATGGGGATGAGCCGCCTAGCTTGACTCGGTTCCAACCCCTTAAAAAATTGGGTGTTCTATGTTTGTTGGGTAAGAGTCATCACCCTCACTTACTTACCAGATAAGACTCTTGATCCTCGTTTTCCTTCATACCAGGTAAGATTCTCGGTCTTTGTTATGTTCACCCAACAAAGTAATTGAACCGGTAAACGTTTATCAAGATAAGTGTTTAATAAGTGTTTAGTATGCGGTTATAAATTCTACGATGTGGCCACAAGGCCAACTATAATGTATAGATATGAACATTGGGCGATGAAGAATACAAATAATAGAAAGTTAAAAGTTGCATAAATGAGGATGTTACACTGTAGCAGGACCATGTTTGACAGGACACCGAACTAGGCCTTTAATTCGGAGCTAAGATGTGCTACCATAGATAAACTGAGAGTGGTTTGGGCAGGTTAGAATGAGGCATATGATGGCCCTAAATGTTTTCAATGGCATGATATCTTGTAGAAGTTCCGAACAGGGGAAATTGACATAAATGGCCTTTTGTATTTGAATATTCATTTGAGATTTTATACATCGTCTAAAACAACAATTTGTATCAGTCATATCAGTTAGCCATAAACTTTGGGTTTGTGGATGGAATCTCCCAAGAAGGGTTAAAATGTCAATTCGAATGAATCATCCTTTCCACAGAGGCAAATCTTTGTCTGTTAGGGTTTCACTTTCTAGTCATTTCCTGATCCAAATTCACTTTTTAGCCAATCCTTATGTAGAAGGCTTACGCATATACGTAAAGATTGGTTTCCGGCCAGAAATAAAATAAATAAATTAGAACTCTTAAACAGGAAGTGGAATGCTTATGCAGAAATTCGAATCCTTAAGCAAAAAGTGGAATCGTTAGGCAGAAACCTTAGCCATATGCATAGGGATTCTTTTTGTATGTTTTATTATTGCCGAAACCCAATCCTTACGCATATGTGTAAGCCTTCTATGTAAGGATCAACCAAAAAGTGAACTTGGATTAGAAAATGGCTAAAGATAAGTTAGGGCAATTAAAAATCAAACATCAAATATTTCTGGAATCAAGTATTAGACCTTCTATAAGATGAGCAAACTTCTATTTTCTCATTGAATTATAGTTTTACATAAAAAAAAACAGTCAGGTATGGTAACAATCAGCTTAAACCAAGCAGAAAGACAATAATACTCTAGGATATTTTTTTCTTTATATATATTTATTCATCATTAGGTGGAATCAGATGAGAAAAAACAACAACAAACAACAACAACATCATCATAAGAGGATTTGATGTAAAAAGGAGCGAGAAGTGATGGTTTACCAGATTATCGTTTTGTAGTATCAGAAAACTTTCCATTTGACGAAGATAACATAACGGAATCAACGGTTTTGAGTTGATCGAGTTGCTTTTTACCACGACGAAGCAGGTACTCGATATGTAGGAAGTTCTTGCGATCGATCAGTTTGGAATTTTGACGAAACTCGGCTGATACAATTGACTCAATGTGGCTCCGGTTTTCTGGGGATTTACATCGTGCTGTTCTGAGAAACCCTCTGTACAATGAAAGTACTTGCTTCTGAATACCAGATAATTTTTGTCCCCTGGATGCTCCCATTATAAAAAGCTTCAAGTTTACCGTCTTCGGTTTTTTTATAACTTCCCCTGCATACCAATAAACTAGGCCTCACCAAATGGTGCACAGTGGATACTAATAATAGTAGTTAAGGTATCAAATACGATAACATATTATACATATAGCAGTAGTACTGGCAGTTAAAGGTATGAAATAGATACACAAAGCTTGGTGGGAGTTCTCGGTGGGTTTAAACTCTTCTTCTGCAATAATCCACACCTCGTTTCCCATCAGGCTAAAGCCACAAGAACCAAACTCTTTTTCTTTGAGCATATAATACCTCAGAAATGCAAAATGGTCGGATTTAGAACAATCGGGAACAAATTAAAACAACTCTCTTCTTCTTCTTTTTTCTCATGGATTAGAACCAAACTCGAAGAATCCATTGGCCCATTATTTCCATTAAACAACTAATCGAAATAACCAATCTGTAAGATCCCACACCGGTTGGGGAGGGGAACTAAGGTTGCCTTACAAGAGATTGAATACCTCCTCAATCAAATGCGTTTGAAAAACCGTGAGTCCAAGTGTGGACAAAGCGGACAATATTTGGTATGGTTGTCCTGAGATGTTACACAATCTATCCTTCTTTAACCTCATACTAGAAGACTTGGATTCTTATCTTGGATGCATTCAATGCAACTTTGGTCCCTAGTTTTTGCTTCTCTTGCTTTAGTCAACTTGTTTACATTTTTTCCCTCTTTATTCTTGGTTTGTTCTATAGTTGTCCATGCCTGATGCTTTAACCATTAGCTTCACTTTTTGGTTAATTTTTTACTTATCCATATTTTCTGCCATTACAATATCTACTATTATCCTAATAAAATATAAATTGCTTTCATAACTAATTTCAAAAACAGATGAAAGTTATATATGTTACAAACAAATAAAATGGATGGGCGAAGAGGTGATAATGGTTAAGAGGTCTTGAACACAACTTACAACCACCTTAGCATATAGCATATGAGTATGATAAACTTTACAAACCACAGCTCTACTCCTCGAGGTAAAGGTAGAGGCAGGACCAGTTCATTTGTAAGGGCAGTGGTTCAAAAAACACATATTTTTTGCATCACTAATCAATGGTAGCATTGGAATTTAACCAATGATCAGAACTATAGCATAAAGTATCATCACTCTTACTATATTTTTGGTAAACAAAACTGGTAACTTGCGATTGTTGTTTTAATAGATTGACCAGATCCATTAGGATGTCCTAACAAATTCTATAACAGCTTAAAACTCACAAAATTGAAATGATTATGACTTGCAGTTTACTAGATAAATGATGAACTACATAGCAATCAATAATCAAAATCAACTTCATATAAAAAAACCTAATCTAAATCATAACATCATCAACAAATACAATAAAAAATCAAGTCAAAATAAAAACAACTCAAAGAACAAGACATAATCTGAGGAAAAATTAAAAAAATTAGGATTCGGGAAATCAAGAATTTACCAATATTTTAGATTCCAAACTTATCAGACCAGAGTCCAGAAAGCAGAAGCCAGAAGCCAGAAGAGAGGAGAGCTAGGAAAGAGAAACAAATGGACAGACTTTGGGCGGTCGATTAAGGGCAGATATCGAGAGCCGAGAGTCCAGAAGGCAGAAGCCCAGGGCCAGAGTAGGTCGTCACCGGTGAGCAGTGGGCAGCGATCGAATCACAGAATTCAGAAGAGAGGAGAGGGCGTGCGTAGGGCAGACAATGAGATCGAGGAAGACGAGAGTCGAGATATTGAGAGGGAGGCGTGAGATAGAGAGAACAGAGAACCGATTTCTGAAAATTTTCGGAGACGCAATCTACTAAACTCTGCTGCCATGGGCGTTGGCCCGCTTCGCGCTATACAAATAGCCATGATCTTCTTCATATTCCATCCTAGCTTTCCTCAACGGCATAAAAACTCGATTTCTGACCCAACTAAGGATGTTGCATTACTACTTCGACTTTGGTACACTACCACAAAATTGAACCTAATTAGATACCCAAACTCCATAAACACTAAAAAGTACTTTCATCATCCAAGTATTATTCTACGCATAAATCATCCGCTTTCTGATCTAATTTTAAACAAATCAATGAAGAGCAAACCAAATTTGAGGTCGTTCTTATGCAAATCAGCAGAGATCAAAAATCAAAACGCAAAAACGAACTAAAGTAGCAATTACATAATGGCGAAATAGAGAGAAACCGAACCTTGAAAGGAATTAAAACATATTCTCGAGCTTTGTTTCGTGGCTTTGCAAATTTCTGGCGGAAGAGATGAAAAGCTGTGCGAATTGTTTTCATGGACCAAAAGATGGCCACGGAAGCTAGTGAGACTGAGGATGGTTTGGGCGAATATAAGGCCTAATGGGCTAACTTATTGAGGTATCGGCCCATTAAACTGGGTTGAGCCGCACTAAGACAAAAAGCTTACTATAATAACTTACTCTATCATTAAGACGAACCAAGTAAATCTTAGGGGCTGTATGGTAATTGTTGAATGATTTGGTGCGGAATAATAAAAGTGGTCAGAATGATTAAGAGACTCTCATGATATAGTGCAAAATGAAATATAATTGTTTAGTAATTGTGTATAATGAAATTAGGGCTCTTAATGGTTAAGGGAGGCAAATGATACAAAATCATTCAAAGGGTTCTAGAACCATTAAGAGACAGACTTTTTTTTGTTAAACAAGATTCACCTCTTAGATTCTTTAAAATGAAGATTTTGGTGATTTTTACTCCAACAAATTCCCTAAAACCTTCTTAAAAACGGAGAAAGTATGAGATAAAGGATGAAAATCTCCAAGTGTGGAGATCTCTCCAAAGATGAATACTTATGAGAGAAAAATCATTTTTTATTCATTCTACCAATAAGATTGATTGAATTTAAATGTTTAGGATAGAGAAATAATATTATATGAGCTATATTTGAATATTTTAATAATATAGTTAATTATGTAATCTCCAAAATATAAAATCTGTTAAAAATGAAGATAAACTTTTTTGAAGATTTTTACTTTTTACTTTTTTTATTTTAGATTATCTGTTGGAGATATTCTAACACAAGAAATGATATAATATAGTTCAGGCCCATCATGCAATGGGCTTTTAAGGATATTAATGGGCTGATCAATTTACTCGGTATAAAACTCCAAACGTGCAATATGCAAATATGACATTTGGAGTTTTATACCCACTTAAATTATATAATATTTATATAGCGTAACGTAACAAATAAATTCATGCACATTTTAGATTGAACCTTTAACCTGCAAAAAAATCCAAAGATTCGGGTATTTGAAGTTAAAGACTTTAACCCAATTTAATAAATAAAAAATACTTTACTTGAATACTGCTTATTTGTAAAAGATGTTTAGAAATCAATCACATGAATAATTGAAATATAATTGTAAGTTATATAAGTAGTTAGTCAAATCTATAAGCCATTTAACAAATGTAACCGCGTAAACGATTATCGGGTATGATTCATCATCTCGTTTGCCTTATCCGGTAAGATTTTCGACCATCAAAATGACATAATAAGATCACTGGTAATCAAATTTTAGTCAGTAAATATTAATCAGGTAAAAACTATGATCGATAGTAAGATTTTAGGTTTTTGTAGGAATAGTGCAATATTGTCAGTATCCCACGTTTGAAGGCCAAGTCTCCTCGTACTGTAAATAGTATGCTACTTACGATATGATATCGTGGCTGAAATTGGGCAACAAAGTTAAAATTCAGTACTGTTTGAATGGAAATGCAAGTCACCCTTTGTAATCATATTCCCCTTTAACAAATATTCTACTTCCAATAGCCCCTCAACCATTCATCATGCTTCTATCATTGATTAATTGCTCTTTTGCTTCCTCTTCACATATACATATACATATACATATACATATACATATACATATACATATACATATACATATATATATATATATATAGAGAGAGAGAGAGAGAGAGGGACAAGTCCCATTAAAAACTGGGAACCGCACACGATAGGCCACGTGTCCTTCAAGATTAGTTTTCATCGTGAATAACACATTCATAATGAATATGGATGTGTTATTCACCATGAATCACACATTCATGATAAATAAAACATTCATAAGTTTGATGAATATATTACATGCCGCGTTGTGGATGGTCCCCCAGGTTCCTAATCAATTTTGGGTTCCATTATATTCCGGTGAAAATGAAAGTTATGGTGAGAATGGTAAGAAATGTTCTCCACCTTTCGATCGATCCTAATTGAAAAGAACCACTAGATCAATTTCCTTCTAAACTACAATTTATGAGTTGTTTTGAGATTAAAAGTGATCGAGGGTCCAAATCACTTATTAGACTTCTCATCTTTAACTCTTATTCTCACATGATCCTTCGTTTGTATAAATACGTCAGTTTCCAAAGGGTTTTGAGGCAATTCAACAGCTTGGAGGAGCATTTTGGTCCCCTTATTGCTCTTTGATAAATCTGTGGGTACATTTTCTTGTCCTCCATATATATGAACAACAACATGGTGTAAACATCAATTGGATATCAAAATCAAGAATTCAAGAATGGAGACAATCTAAGAGCTTATTATCATCTTGTCCTCTATTTTAAGTGCTGTTTATTATCATTGTTGGGAGAATATTTGACCCAAATTCCTTGGGATTCAAAAGCAACAGATAAAGGCTCCATAAACCCTGGCTAGAACGGGAGCCACACCAAACACAAAGTGAGTGCCATTTATGCAACAAACATGAGTGACTATTGAAACAATGGCATTGCAAGCTTGTCCAGATAGAATCTTGATCATTGCAACATGGAAAAATGATTCGGTGGAATTTTGGCAGACCAATTGGGGCATACCTAGTGAAATATTCGGTTGTCATCGATCAATATCGACACCAGTCCAACCATCGATATTTACATCACAGATAGATTTCCAGTCGATCGATCGAGCATGGACCAACACAGATCTCCTGATCATCTTTTCCAGCAAAACCCTATACAAAACAAAAAGTGAGTAAAATGAACATCAAGAAATCTTGGCATCTGTCAGGATCCCACCATTGAAGAAAACCCCTTAATTCTTTCACTATAATGAGTAAAATGAATATCAAGAAATCTTGGAATTTGTCAGTATCTCACCATTGAAGAAAACCCTTAATTCTTGCACTATAATTAGTCTGGTACATATGATATATAGTGGCTGAAGCTGTAGAAGATGGTGAATTTTGTACCCAGTACGTCGTCGTCTGATCTATACTGCAAAGTAGATCCCACTTTATAATCCTAAAGTACCATATATTCTAAAAACCTGCCATATAATCACAACAATGAGGTCTCAGATATCTGAAACTTCCATAGCCACAATCATTTTAAAGATATGGTTTAAAACTCGTATGCATGTGATAAAGTTTTTCACAGTACTTTCCCCCCTCTCTCTTTATCGTTCCTTCCAAGTTAAAGCTGAGAGAATGCAGGCCGTAAAGAATCCGACTGAAGTTTCCATCAGACACTTGACACGAGATCGAACACGATACAATTATTTCACACCAAAATATTCAACTTTTACCGAAGAATAAGTAATGCAGTACCATTCAAAGAGTTTTTCACCATACTTTCTTATTTTACCTGTAGAATTCGATTTGTATTTTAGTTCGGAAATGTGAATTTGACGCTCCGTGGTTGAAGCGACATCGATCGACTGACAGCAATCGGGTGCATAGAGTGATCAACTTGAAGAGCTCCATCTTTGATTGTCCTTTTGTAAGTGTATTTATGAAATGTTAGTTAATGATTAATATGTGTGTGCATGGAGATGTAGGATTTATCCCACGTTTGTTGGTGATAAGTATTCAACAAGATTAGTCAAAGAAATGCAAACACAAGAAAGAAGATGCAAAGAGGGATAGGGATTCTAAGATAGATATTTCGAATATTATAAATTATTTGATAAAAATTATTAAAAATAATATTTTATACATGAAGTATTGTATATCGATGCATATTACTTAAAATTTAATATTACAATGTATATTGTGCATAAGTACAACTTATTAAAACTTTTTTTTAATTCGTGTAATTAACTGCGGATAAACATAATCAAATACAAGATAAATATCTCATTTTGAATATAAAAAATTAAAATATAATTAGGATAATCGTTAAATTTTAATAAAATATTTAATTATCATCCTTATAAAAATTATATTATTAAATAAAAATAAATTATTTTATTATTAAATCTAAATTAAATTATAATAAAAAATTGAATTAAAGAAATTACACAGAGAGTGAGAATTTTAAATAGTTAATTTAATACTAATATCGATACATTCTTTTTTCAAATTTATATTTCGTTCAAAATAAAAATATTATCGTTTTCTAAAACCACGTAAAACCGTATTATCTCGATAGAGAAAATGAATAAAATGAAATATTAAAATCGAGATATATCTCGATGCATTGCGCGAGTACCCTTCTAGTGTGTGTGTGTGTGTGTGTGTGTGTATCGTGTGAAACCAAGGGTTTTTCGTGAATCCCGTAAGATCAGTTCTCAACCCTTGGATTAGATCTACAATCTGAATATTCATAATCATAAAATTGCCACGAGACTTCTCAATAATCAAAAAATTGTCACCGTGCAACTTTAGACCATTAGCTTATGAAGTTAATCAATGAACATAAATTGGTCTTACGGGTCTTAAGAAAAACTTTTTTCTCACGTGAACCCAACCTCATATATACTTCCATCATTTCTATAAATATCGCTCAATTAATTGGGTTGCATTGGTTGTACAAATGGACATGGTTGTATTTGAAATATACCATATATATATATATATATATATAAACTCATTTTTCGTTGTGAACGACAAATCTTGGTCATTGATTAAAATATAGAAAACTAATCAACGGTTAAAATATACAAAAATTAATTAAAAAGTGATTAAGGACAAAAATAAAAGGTGGGATTTAGCATATCATGTTTGATTTTTTATTTTTTTTTTTAATTAAAAAAATTACCCTATTAATTTTTAAACTAAATTATCTTAAAAATAATTAATATTTTAATCAAAAAATCGAGCATTTCATTCTTTTTGATTTGGCATTCATCTCGATATAGTTTTTTATACGTTTTTTAAGTTAAATGGTATATCTGTATAATATTCATTATGAATATTTATGCACGTTCATATGTTTACAATTTTATGGATTTCGAAAATAATGTATACTTATATATATATATATATATATATATATATATATATATATATATATAACCCTTAAAAGGGCTAAAGTAATGCTAGAAAAATACCTAAAATATCTCTGATATTTTTAAAATGCGATAGGAAGAAGTATGGGGAGTTCGTTTATAGAATCCACTAGACATGGTCTTGATTTTTATACCCAATGAGAGCTAATAGCATGGTAGATATACCGAGTCCACGCATGACTCTTTTACAAACGAGAAAGTTCTTCACCGATCATAACATGTAACGAAAGGGGTTTACAATTGCCACTTATTAGGGTAAAATTCCAGAAACGGGATGATAGATGTTAAAAATACAAAGTAAAAGAGGCACGATAAGAAGAATACACAAAAGTTGGTAGATGAGTAGATTTACGAGGGTGTTGAGTATCGAGGAAGGTCCATAGTCCCATGAGAACTTGAAAAAGTTACGAGACAAAGGTCCACGATCTTAGAAGTATAAGTATACGTCTCTTGTAGATAGATATCGACGCGATAAGACTGATTTCTTCTACCAACCATTCATTCCACCAAATGAAATGATGAGTGATGCAATATGTTTCTATAGAGTCCTCCCTACAATACTAATCAAAAAGTAAACCAACTATTATTGATGCATGTTGCATGCATGCATAATTCTTTGGATGCAATAAGTGCCAAATGATCCCCACAAAGTTGTCATTGCTAAATTTTATACTTAACTAAACCATCATTTATAGGTTTTTTTATGGTCCCATAAATATAAACCCTATATATTTATGGTTTACGATTCAAGAAATGCATATCTCTGTATATTTTTCCTTTTCAAAAAATATTAACACCAAATTAATGTACTTAATGGGACGACATTTGTTACTAGTCATTATAAGTTGCTAAAACACATAAAATAATAGTAAAATTGATACACAAATAACTGATGGAATCATAGAGACAAATCCCGATGGGTAGCCGAATTGACGAAGCCTTGCTTATGCCAAATATTCCCCCACAAAGCCAAAGCCGTTGTTCTTGTTGAAATCCAAAAACAACGAAACGGTTAAAATCATGAAACTCTTCAAATCTCAACGGGACTTTGAGGGAACTTGAACAAAAAGATATAAGTATTCATACGAAATTAGCCTTGAATACTTACGTTTTTTTTTTGGTTCAACTTACAGCTGTTGTTGAAATTCCAAAACCGTGATTTAACTTTCCCTTAAATCTCGGTGATATACCATTTCATATAGCTATTGAACAAGATTAGTAAAAGAAATATAAAGAGAAGGGGAAAAAATGCAAAGAGTCTACAGATTCTGATCGAAAGATAATTTATAAAAAATAAACACAAAATAAACAGGTGAAAATACACTAAAACACAAAGAATATATCAGAATACCTAAAACCCAACTTATATTAATAGCTGGGGATTAAAATTGCATGCCTTTGAAAAGTCCAACTTGGAGACATCCTATGCCAAAATGTATTTTAACTCGATCTACCTAAATGAAGTAACGATGCCAACCTTGATGGTAAGCAACCATGACACAGGATATAGGCCAAAAGGTAACTTACCACCAATGTGGAAGAATCAAAGCCGACCAACGATGTTGCAAACTATTCAAGGACTACGTTATCCGTAATTGCTAAGGAACAACAAATTAGGAACGAGAGATTAAGAAATGAGAATCCTTGGAGAACCGCATATCCATTCTAGCAATTGATGGGCACCAAACTAGCCAAATTTCAATTAAGCACAAACCCAATCATCGCTACTAGTTAGGCTTGTGACGTCAAGTGTCATTTTATACTTTGCAGATGTGGAATATTTCCCAAAAAAAGAAAAAAAGCTACATATGCTTCTAGGATATTAACGGGATGAAGCAACTTATTGGTAGTATGATCTCATGTTGACTCATATAGAGGTAGAAACTGAAAAGATGATGTGGAATTTGTTTGAAATTTCTTGGAAGGTCAGTATCGCATAGGCAATTCGTACAATTCAAGTAAGCTTATTCCACTTTCAATTAATACATGGACGAATTCAACGAAAAAAATCAAGGGTTTGCGCCTTACTTGATATATACCGAATAGAAGATAGTGAAAGTGTTATCAATGAATGTCGGTTTCTAGTTAATATCAAACACATAAATAAGTAAGTTATGAATGACCAAATATTCATACTTAAAGACAAATACCATTAAATAGAAAGGTATGACTCAACCAACATGCAGCACTCAAATTGAGATTGGATTAGGTTTTACATTAGCTGACTAAGAATGATACTCAATCTGACGCTGACGTAACAACAAAAATCGAAGATCAATCGACCGAGCCCCGCGGGTCAAAACGTGGCCCAAATCAAACAAGATTCAATGGTCATTAATAAAGATCAAATTGCTCCAAGACCCAACCATGAAACGTGAACTCTCATTCGACGACTGACTAAGATGTGATAGTGAATGAGATTGATTAGTATCAAGAAAACCATATATTAAATGAATAGTGGCGTCATTGGATCAATCGAATAAAATCCAATAAAACCATATCCACCAACTAAATCCAACAAACATTTATTGAATCAAAATGCAAGATTACAATTTGTCAATTCAATACGTAGAGAATCACATAACAAATCTTGCCTAAATCCTATTAAATTGTCTCTGTCTTGCAACGTGATAAATCTAATCTATGCATCATTCACAACCTCCCAAGTGTGATTCGTATACCAAGTACGGCCCTGTGTCCTATTTCCATATGCTATGATACTCACCAAACTGGAACTTTCAAAACAACCCCCTCTAGTTTTATAATTTCCAAAGACTTCCCTTTTAGTTCTTTTATTTTCAAAAAGACTACATATCTTCACACTAATGACTAAATCAACCAACCCCAAATCTCCATGACCTAACGAGATCGTTTTTTATATTTCTTTATAAAACATTAAATTAAAAAGAACATTGTACTTATTCGAAAACGAAAGAAAGATCTTGTTTCTTTAAAAAAAACAACAAATTGTATTTTATTTTAAAAAAAAACGTAATTTCGAAATCTTTATTTCGTTTATGTTATATAAAAAGACATATTATAACTTTATAACACAATCTTTTTAAATAAAAAGATTTGGGTATATAATTTGGACCATGACCATAACCTTAACCTATAGATATGGGGATTAGTTGGCGCGTGAATAGATAACCAAATGTGGTGCAAGTGGTGGAGTATTTGGCTTATAAATTCAACTCAACTACACACAGCAAAACACACAGTCATCCACATAAATGTATTTATAGCTTCCCTTCTCTTCTCCTCTTTGCCCCTTCACTTCACTTCAAATCCCTCCCTTTTTCTCTGCACAGAAAAGCCTCAGAAGAAAGAGCCTTGAGAAAGTGAACCAAATCCTTTCCTTAACCTTCACGCCTCCATATTTACACCTCCATATCTCTCTCTCTCTCTCCAAGAACAAAATTTTCTCTCTCTACCTCTCACTTCTCATAAAGACCCTCTGTTCGTTTTTCCTTTTCTCTTTCTCTATCTACATTTAAATACCGTCAGAAAACTCACTCCCAACCAACGCACATTTCCCTTCTCTCAACACCCTTTTAAACTCTCAGTCTTTAAAGTAAAAGAGAAGAGAAACAGAGCATTTCTTGGATAACAGAGGGGTTTTCTGTAAATTTCTCGCTGAAAGACTCTTCATTTCATCATTTTTTTCTTGGTTTCTGTTGAGGGTTTTCATCTTTCTTGATAAACTTTTTGATGGGTTCTTGTGAAAAAGATCAATTCGTCATGAAATTTGATGGGCCAATCATAGTGGGTGCTGGGCCTTCTGGTATAGCTGTGGCAGCTTGCCTTCAAGAAAATGGTGTCGCTTCTCTTGTTCTTGAGAGAAGTGATTGCATTGCATCTTTATGGCAACACAAAACGTATGATCGTTTAAAGCTTCATCTCCCCAAACAATTCTGTGAGCTTCCATTGTTTGGGTACCCAAAGAATTTCCCAAAATATCCCACAAAAAACCAGTTTGTTTCTTACATGGAGGCTTATGCAGAGCACTTTGAAATCAAGCCAAGATTCAACCAGGCGGTGGCTAGTGCTGAGTTTGACTTTGAAAGTGGGGTTTGGAGGGTGAATACACAAGATTCCGTTTATGAATCACGGTGGTTGGTGGTGGCTACCGGCGAGAATGCGGAGGCAGTTGTGCCGGAGATTCAGGGGATTGAGAAGTTTGAGGGGGTTGTTAGGCATACAAGTGAGTACAAAAGCGGATGCGAGTTTAGAGAGCAAAGAGTTTTGGTTGTTGGATGTGGGAATTCTGGCATGGAGGTCAGTTTGGACCTCTGCCGTTACAATGCAAGTCCTTTTATGGTTGTTAGAAACTCTGTAAGTTCATCATAACACCCTTCTTTTCAGTGTGTGTTTTTAGGTGTTGTGTGTGTTGTTATGATTAGGGTATTATTGCTCTAATTCTATATGTCAAAGTCAATTTCATTCACCTTTTGGTTTACTTTTTGAAATGGGGTTTCTTTTTTATTGGAAAAAAAAAGAAAATCATTTCTCAAACCAAAAACCCCCAAAATTTTCACCACAATCTTGTTCTTGATTATTTTTCATGTGGGTATTTCTTGAATTTGTTCTTTTCTTGATATAATCACTAAATTGTATATTTCTCCATTTGGGTATTTGATCTTTTTGCTTAAAAATGTTTTCTTGACATGAAAACTTCCATTTAACAAGAAGTGATTTGAGTCACATGCTTTAAAACCTGTATACTGTTGTCTCTTTAACTATTTTAATGCTATCAAGATTTTTTTCCCAAGTATTTTGACTTTTGGGGATATTTGTGTGGTTGTTTTAATGCAATTACAGGTTCATGTTCTGCCTAGAGAGATGTTTGGATTCACAACATTTGGAATAGCTATGGCACTTCTCAAATGGCTACCTCTTAGGGTGGTGGACAAATTAATCTTGTTTATGGCCAATTTAACTCTAGGAAGCACCGACAAATTAGGCCTCCGGCGGCCAAAAACGGGCCCCCTTGAGCTCAAAAACGCCACCGGAAAGACCCCGGTTCTTGACACCGGAGCCTTATCTCTAATAAAATCCGGTAACATCAAGGTAACCATCCATAGATTCCCTATCACATACATTAATAAATTGTACTACATTTATATTTCTTTTAGACTTAAATTTATGATTAATTGGAATGTTTGTAGGTGGTGGAACAAGGAGTGAGGGAAATCACCAAAAGTGGAGCCAAATTCATGGATGGTCAAGAGATTGCATTTGATTCTATAGTATTGGCAACAGGGTATAAGAGCAATGTGCCATTTTGGCTCAAGGTAAATTCCATGAATACCCTGATCAAGTTTTTGTCTGAATCTTGCATGAAATACTTGTACTATTGTATTATATAGAGGTGATAGGAAGATTCACATGTGAATAGTTGACAAAATCCATTTAAAGATTCATATATGAACCTTTCTTTAACCTCTTTTCACGATATTTAGGTATCTTATTTGAACTGACGTAACGCAGCAGGTATATAAAGATTTAAACGATAAGTATCAGATATTTTTTGTATTTATTTTTATCTTATTATTTATCTCACATCACTTTCCAAGTGTTACACCTTGAGAAGCCTACAAAATGGTTTTTAGTAACCAAAAAAGTGTAAAACTGATGGCACTTGTTTGGATGATTCTCATCTCATAACATTTTTGTTGTCATTTTATGATGTGTTACTATCAACAAGTATTCTCATCATTATATTTCTCCCTTTTCTATGTCTTTTTGCCAAATAAAGATTTAAACAACTTACAAAATGCCAGAAATTAAGTTTCTAAATCAAGGGTAATGTACACATTTTAATGCATGTTGTACTAGTCATTCAACCATTGTTGTAGTGGTTTTAGGCATTTCTTCTCTGGGAATAGAAGATAAATATAAAAATATTCTTTTTTTCTCTGTTTTCTAGAGACAGAATCAGAATTGAAATGTGTTGTGCATATAATGATCTCATTATTTTGTCTTTTGATGGTAAGCATGACCCACATATTTTCAAATATTTTGTTATTAAAACAATAAAATAATGTTTTTTTTTAATTTTTAATTTTAAAAATTAAAAATTACTATATTCTGATAAAATTTGTTTCCGATATAGGGAAGTGATTTCTTTACGGAGGATGGAATGCCGAAAACTCCCTTTCCAAATGGTTGGAAAGGGGGAAACGGGTTATATACGGTTGGGTTCACTCGAAGAGGTCTTCTAGGGACGACATGTGACGCACTAAACATCGCAAAGGACGTTACTGATCAATGGCGGTCCATGATGTGCAATTCTAAGCACGAGTTTAGGTCAAAGTAGTGTATGGATAACGGAATAAAGATGAAAAAGAAAATGAAAAGAGGGATAAATAGCATTTTTATTTTTCTTTAGATGGTGTAGGGGTATGTTAGTAATTCACTTTGGGGAATGTTTTACCAAACAACATTGTCTTTTAGGTTGTTCACAATTTGTGATGTTCTTTGGTTATTTGTTGGTGGGGTTACAATTGTAAATTAACAAGTTTTGTAATTCACTCTTTTTTGCATATTTTCTTTCCTTTGTTGTCTTGCTTGTACATTTTCATGTTTTCAATCAATTTTTTTTGTGTTGTTCACTACTTTACCATCTATAAATTTTAATGCCTAAAAGCAACTTCAATCGTACGGAATTTTAGTCGTAAAAAGAGTGTAAAAATCATGAGAAATTCTTTCTATGGGCTCATGCGTGCTAGCTGGTATAGATGAATAAAGGATGACTGCTTGAACGAGACTTATTCTCTTAATATAATAGGCGGCAAAGCGGAATATAAAAGCACAAAAACGAGCCACATGCAGGGAAACTTGCATGTGTGATTCTAGCATGGGACCCCCGATATACTGTACTAATATGTGTAGGTCCCTGTAATTCAAGTGATATTGTTATGGCGCAAAAGCAGATATGGCGTAAAGAATGCCTACTGACAGCAGGTTCCGGTGGCAAAGAAGTACTCTCCTTTGGTCATTGGGCTAGTTCATCTATCTATCAATCAACTCAGCAAAGTGCCAATAGCAGTCCTCTCTGAAACTTAAAGATCCTACTCACGTTCACTTTAAGAGGTGGTTTAAAGAGTTCGAAACGAGACAAACTATAATTGGTATTGATTGTTCTGTTATCAATAAAGTCAGACACTGATGTAAAGATTCATTGCAGCTTGATTATCCCACTTATTCATCTGGGCATCACTGGCAGGAACGATGTATGATAGCTATTAACTAGTGTCGTGGAGTTAGTAGAAAATCTTAAAAAGAATTGAAATAATTTATTTTTATATATTGTGCAAGCAACAATGAATTATATTTTTCTAAAAAATTGTTATTTAAATGATACTCAAAGAGACATGTATTTTGAATTTTCATATCCGTACGTGTAAACTATACACACGTGTACGATATATGGTGTTTTAAGACATTATATTAAATATTAATATTTTGTCTATTAAAATTTGAAGATTGAAACTCCTCAATTATTTTGGTGTGGTATTTATGAAAGCCTATTTGTCGAGAGTCGAGGTACATTAATTATGCCCAATTTTTTGGCATTTCTCAAGATTGCATTTAAGATATATATATATATATATATATATATATATACTAGAAGCATACTCGCGCAATGCAGCGAGATACATCATGATTTTAATATTTCATTTTATTATTTATCTCAGTCGATGTTATAATATGACTTTATGTGATTTTGAGAAAACGATGATGTTTTTATTTTTGAATAATTTATATGTTTGAAGATATCATAAAAATTTGACAAAAATATATCGATATTAGTATCAAATTAACTATTTGAAATTCCTCATTTTTTGTATAAATTTTTAGTGAAACAGACAAGAACA